CTAGGCATTTGTGAAAATTTGTCTATGATATGATGGATATTGTCCAACTGTACTTGAACAGTCTGAGAGAAATCAGACAAGTTAAAGCGACACATTTCTGGGAACTGTTCACATCCCATATGTTCTTTTAACTGTAGATAGTCTGTAGTCGTAAGATTTTGGAGCACTACAACTTGCACTTCTCCTAATTCTTGGTTGAGTTCCAACAGTATAGATCCAGTCAAATTTGTTGTTTTACTGTATGCACAGGCCAGCTTAGATATCTCCTTCTTCATTCCAATGGCAAGTCCAGGAAACAGTGGGATGGATGCAGCTACAACTGCAGCATCGCCTGGATCTTTGTGGAGGTTTTTTGATGATCATCTTCTGGTATGAGTCTTCCAGATAGTGCTGATGTTGGAAGTTCTTCTTCATATCATATCTTAGTTCATTTTCAATACCCAGTAAATTTTATGAATGAGTTTCAGTTTACAAGATTGTCAAGGCTAGAAAAAATATAAATGTGTGTGTATATACATAATTATTATGAAAAACATATGTATTTTTCATAACACTTAAAGTGACTAAGCACAATGAATGTTTCAGTATCTTATGATAATTTTATTTTATGCATTCATTTAGAAAGAGATCCACAAGCGTCTTAAAAACAGAAGAGCCATAATGCTTAAATTCTTTTTCTTTCTCTGACACACTTGCTATAACTTCATTGCTCTTGTACTTCCTCTCATAATCTATATTATATACTGATATTTAGATAATTTATTTAGAAACAGATTGACTAAAATTAGTTAGTTTGATATGGAAGCTTTATATACCCTATTTATTATTTTCTTATATCTATTTAGGAATTTCCACTGACTTACAAAAACAAACATTAATGAAGCTCATTATCAGCAAATACAAGCAATAGTGTTATCAGGGATGGGTACATCAGATGGAATTGTGTCTGCAGCCTGGAAATATGTACATGATTTTTTTTCAGAATAAGGCAAAACAGCTGGTTCGAAAATGACATGAGGAATTCTATATGAGTACTACTGGAAGGAGCAAGTTGTTTGTTTCATTTTCCCAAGAGGTTTTTTTCTTCACTTTATTTAGGGAATCTATTGGAGATGGTTTCAAGATGTAGAACCCTTAGATATGAAGTGTCCCAAATGAAGCTGGAGTATCCACACTGAAATTGCTTCATATTGTGGTAAGATAATATGATTCTTAATATGTTGGCCTTTGGACAATGTGATAAGAAATGTGTGTGTTTAGTGGTGGAAGGAAGGATGTATATAAACATTATGAAGGTTTGTAACTGAATACATAAGTTTGAGATTCAAAACACCATTTTTTCTTATTTTGCAATGATTATTTTCTGGCTTTTTAAGCATTCTTCTTAAGTGGTAGGGAACTCAAATTTGCTATTATTAATCTGCTATTTATGTTAGTGAATAAGTGAACACAACAGCCCCAAGAGGTAGGTGTTATTACCCTCACAGTACAGATGTGGAACATGGAAGCTCAGAGAAATAAAACCTTGCCCAATATCATGCACCTAGTAAAAGGCACACGATTGATTTGACTATACATTTTACATTTCTGTTGCCATGCTGCCTCTAGCGTTTGTGGTAAGGGAAGAGCCAAAGGATTAAAATAGGCTGAGGACAAGACCCTCAGGTGTTAAACTGTCATGTAGAAAAGTCCTTACTGCCTTCCCTCCAAAAAAGAAAGTGAAGGAATTTCCCTTATATTCTCACTATTCTTCAAAAGAGAAAGATTTCTGTAAGTCATTGACTAGTTACACAGATGATGGTGCTTCAAAGACATTGAAAGTTATAGAGAAACTGACATAGGAAAATGGGTGCTATAATTTTCCCATTCACCGTCACTGTAAAATGAAAATCTGTAGCAGGCTTCCTCTATACAAATATCCTGCTGTGGCCAAAAACAGTTTTAATGAAACTGGTACCAATCCTTCCTTTATGGCTAACTGGTATATGACTCAAGCAATTTGGGTCTCATTTCACTCTTGTGTTACTTGTATCATGAAGTTATTGCAAGATTCTGTTGAAATAAGAGAGAATATATGGAAAGCACCTATAATTCTGCCTGGCATGCAGAATTCATGCCTGGCATGTGGATATTCAACAAATGGAAGCCATATTAAAAACCTTTTGATGTAACAGCTATTAAAATATAAGCCATTATAGGTCTATCCACTAAAGTTTTAATTAAAGAAATGTTTATATGAAAGATTGTCTCCATTCAATATTATGTAAAATTTGGCTTGAATGCATTTTCTTTATGTAGAACGTATCTGTTTGGGGCTATTGCAGATTGCTGATTGGGGGCATTAGTTTATAGGTACAACATGGGCTCTTTTGTCCCTGGGACTCAACAGTAGCATTGCGTTTAGTTAATTTAGCAATCTTACCTGAAAATCTTCAAACAGATTTTCCCTAATGACTGCAAGCCATATACCCCCTCTTTCCCTGTAAGTCAGATTTTCTTGGGTTATTTAACAATGACAATTTGGGAGGCTGCAAAGCATTTTTTCAGCAGCCTTCATACTCAGTCTTGCTTATATGTTGGTGATAATCAGCAACATTTCTGTGGGAGCAGATACTGTGCCTATAGTTGAAGATTACATTTTAACTTCCTGTATTATGAAATGGGGAAAAAAATCAGCCAACTCTCAATGTGAGAAGCCTTTAACATCCTTGAGTTCCAATGTGTTTTCATTTTTTTTATGGTAAAGTAAAAGCCTATAAAATTAAAGAATGCAATGAAGATATTAAGCTAGAATCTCTAACATAAATAGACAAAGGCTCCCCCCAGAGCACCATGGGAAGGGAATCTAAGCCATTCTTTACTTAAACTACTTTCAATTAGTTTATATTCTGAAAATTTTTTTTATGGTAAAGTAAAAGCCTATAAAATTAAAGAATGCAATGAAGATATTAAGCTAGAATCTCTAACATAAATAGACAAAGGCTCCCCCCAGAGCACCATGGGAAGGGAATCTAAGCCATTCTTTACTTAAACTACTTTCAATTAGTTTATATTCTGAAAACACCTGCAAAATTGTCCCTGTCCTTTCTATGCTGTATTCCTTCTGAATTCAAGAGTTTTGCATTTGGATAGAAGTTCCTAAATGAACAATCCCAAATTCCCACTTTACATCCAGCTTTTTGGGAAGTAAATTTTTTGTTGCTTAGGGCCTCATTTCTCTTTGCTTTTTCTCTGCAATAACACTGTATTTGCTTCATGTGTTATTAACTCTGAGATAGTGAGTTACTTAAGCTCTTTTGATGTCAGTATTCGCATTATAATATAAGGATTATAACTGTTAGATTGCAGACATTTAAAGATTACAGAGAATATGTGTAAATCAGCTACTCTTTGGAACATTGCTGATGATCTTAAATGGTAGCTGTATATTTAGATCTGACAGTAGGTTTGATAACATGTGACTCCCAAATATTTATCAAGAACTCTTTGCAATCTTCCAGGATAAGGACAAAATTGATTTAAAAAATTGGGGTGACTCATGAAGGGGAGAGGGTTATTTCAAAGGAACCCTCAACTTGGATTTAAGTGCCTAACCAAGAAAATAAGCAGCTTATCACTAAGCATTAGGCCAAGGAAAACAGACTTTTATCTTACATTTGTTCATATTACCTGTGTAGTAATGTTGCTTTATCATGAACTTCTTCATATTTGCATCTCTAGACCAATAGTTCTCAAGCTTTAAAATGTTTACAATGACCTGGAGAGCTTATTAAGTGTATTAGATAAAGGATATTGTTCTCAGGATCTTGCTTCCATAGGACAGGTTGGGGGTTTGGTCCTATGGATCTGTATTTTATACATGATTATTTACAATAAAGATAATCTGGGTATACACCACTAACTTGGGCTTAATATTTTCTGCCTTGGAGCTTTATGTTTTATGCAATCTAATTGTGGAGCTTTATTGTTATAGGTCAAACTGAACAACTTATTTCAGTAACTGTTAAGATAAATCAATGGAAGACAGATAAGCTTCAATAATGATTCTCTATACTTATTTGGCAATAGAGTAATTTGGCAAAGATTTTTATTCCATGAATATATAAGAGGTTGGTAAGACAAATAAGTTAAAATAAATAAATAAATGAATAAATGCTGTCCTAGTTAATAATGGTAGGATTTTTCTTCGGCTAATAATGCTTACTGAAAACCTTCTAATAACCAATTGCTTTCAGATGCATTAGCTCATCAAATTTTCACTCCTTCTCAGTAGTTAATATGCCCATTCTATAGATAAAAATAGATTTATAGATGTTACTGGCTCATAAGTTCTGAGCTTAGGGAGTGGTAGGGCCAGGACTCAATCTTGGCAATCAGTCATTATACAACAGGTACAGCTGCTTCCTAATCCCAATATAATTCAATTTTCTAGTCATGACAGGTTTTGCATAAGCACATATGGGAACAATCAGCCTGTATTGTTTTAAGTTCCTGAACACTTAATTTACTGTCACCTGCTGAATTAGACTTAGAAAGGCAATAGTAGAGTAGGCCTATTTCATCTGCTTTGTAATATTACTCAGAAAGAAAATTTCTGAAAAAATGTCTCAGGTATCTTCTACAAATTCTTATTTTTCACCAATGTCTTTGTTGACTTTAGTCATTCTGCTGAGTGTTTGAACATTCTCTCTTGGTTAAGTCAACTGTCAGAGATTTTGCCCAACTCAGTAGCTGGGAACATGACCTTTAAAAAAGATTTATAGATGTTACTGGCTCATAAGTTCTGAGCTTAGGGAGTGGTAGGGCCAGGACTCAATCTTGGCAATCAGTCATTATACAACAGGTACAGCTGCTTCCTAATCCCAATATAATTCAATTTTCTAGTCATGACAGGTTTTGCATAAGCACATATGGGAACAATCAGCCTGTATTGTTTTAAGTTCCTGAACACTTAATTTACTGTCACCTGCTGAATTAGACTTAGAAAGGCAATAGTAGAGTAGGCCTATTTCATCTGCTTTGTAATATTACTCAGAAAGAAAATTTCTGAAAAAATGTCTCAGGTATCTTCTACAAATTCTTATTTTTCACCAATGTCTTTGTTGACTTTAGTCATTCTGCTGAGTGTTTGAACATTCTCTCTTGGTTAAGTCAACTGTCAGAGATTTTGCCCAACTCAGTAGCTGGGAACATGACCTTTAAAATGTGTGTGTGTGTGTGTGTGTGTGTGTGTGTGTGTGTGTGTGTGTGTGTGTTAGAATCTTATGGATGCAGTGTTCTCCTGGCTTCATAATCTAGTCTTGAGGTATTATTTAGCTGCAATTCTGCTACAGAGAATGCTTCCTACCAAATGACTGGTTTGCCTATTATTGGCACTCTGATACCCAGCCTGAGGTCCCTTGGCTCTTTATCTTGCCCTTTAATAATACAGTCTGTGCACCTTCTGAACAGCAGTACATGCTTAGTATGTGCCTTAAAATGTCTCCTAGTTGGCTGACTACTACAACAGCAGTATTTTATTGTTCTGTCACTCCCTTGATGCTCCTTCGATGTGTAAGCATACTTGTTAGCACTGTCAACTCACTGGTCTATACATAGTATCTCATTTAATTCCCCTAAACCACTGAGGTGAGTATAATAACTACACGTTAGTTGCTGACTCAGCCAATATTTACTCAGCATCTCCATTGCACCAGGTATTGCTTTAGGCAACAGAGAAAAGGATATCATTAAGCTCTCCAGCTGCTAACTCTAATTGGGAAGATAAATAAAATACATTAAACAAAAACAAAAACACCATTTAAGTGTACTACAAAACTAAATCTTATGGGCAGGGAACAGAGGAGAACATTGCTCAGTTTTGTTGAAGTGGGAAGGAAGGGCTAAGATCAAGAAATGTCTTTTGGAGATTCTACTTCAATTAAATGTGGAAAGATGAGGAAACAAACTCAGGCATGTTAAAGCAGGTTTTTCAGAATGTCACAACTAGTTAATGGCAGAGGATGGACAGGGTTTGTATTCAGGTACTTCTGATGATATAGTCAATGCAATTAGCAGTTCTTGCTGCCAGCTGCTGGTTTTGGCTATGTCTAACTGAATGCCATTCACAGTTGATATCTCTTCCTGTCCTCCATCTTCTCAGCTATTCTATAACTTGGTGGTGGAGATAACATTCCAATTCAGGTATTTTTCAAG